CGGGATGCATTTGCAGCATAAAGTATGTCTCATCCGCATTCTCCGAGTGCACCCAGCTGATGCTCGGCTCTGATTTGCCGTCAGCAGTGCCTGAACTGCCTGTGGAAACTGAAGGGCACCAGCGCGTTAAGCATGTGTGTGTGTGTGTGCGTGTGTGTGCGTGTGCGTGTGTGAATAGAGCTTAAGTATGTACAGATTGCAATGAAAATCCGCACTTAGTCAATTTGGATTTCGAGTTGGAGTTGAGCAAATATTTTGCATAGCTTAATCTGCCTATATATACATATACGTACTATTTTACATACATATATAAGCTTATATTATATATACTGCTATACTTTGCGTGTATCGTGTTATATATGGTTATGGCTATAATTAATATAAGCTCAAGATTTATAGATTTTCGTTTGAGCATGTAGCGAAGCTCTGATATCTTTATCTGTTCAGTGTAGCCACATGAAAGCTTTTATAGATAGTAAATAATGAAATTTATGGCTTGTCAACGAAAGGATGAAAAAACCAAAAAACATTCTGTCGAATGTTAAATACCCTTCACATATATGTATAAATTAACTACTATATTGAATATAAAGATTTGATTATATATTGCTATTATTTCATATCTTCTACTTGCAGAATAAGAAATCAGACAACGGAATTAAATACAATTTTAATGCTGAACAAAAAACACAAGATATCTTACCTTAAATTTATCATAGATATTATTAAAGCTAAAGCAGCTCTCTATACAGTGGGGAATAAAAGCAAGCGACAGCTCTAAAAAGCATAGTTGACATTTTATAAAAAGCATTTTATGTATTTTCCGTTAAGCAATGAGAAGTCAAGCTTCAACTCGTTCTTGGATATTTGCGACACACATTTTTTTTATACCCTGAACCCATTTTCAATGGGAAATCAGGGTATAATGGTTTTGTTGAAATGTATGTAACAGGGAGAAGGAGGCGTGGCAGACCCCACAAAGTATATATATTCTTGATCAGGGTGACGAGCTGAGTTGATTTGGCCCTGTCCGTCTGTCTGTCCGTCTGTCCGTCTGTCCGGCTGTCCGTATGTATGAACGCGTCGATTTCAGAAGATATAAGAGATAGAGACTTCAAATTTTTTTTAAAATGTTCGTTATTACAGCGCGCATATCAAGTTTATCATTAAAAATCGATAACTCATCCCGATCTTTTTTATCGATAAAAAACCTTATCGAAACCCAGTTATAAAATTATATCTTCTACACCTTTATTGCTAGAGTCTCCAAATTTTTAATGTATGCTTATATGCAATTTATACAATTTCGGTTTTTGTTAAAATTTACCCCCCCACCTCTAAATTCTCCCCCTCACCCTCACTTTTGTTAAAAGCGTATTTCAAATACTAGAGACTTGTGCTTTGGCAATTACATGCATATTCATGTTATAATCATAATCTAAAAGTTTCATGAAGATCGTACGTCCATAAAAAAAGTTATTAAACAATTAAGTTCTCATAGTAAGCGCACACTGCAGCCCATGCGTGTTTATGCGTGGTTGCTTGTATGTGTATGTGTGTGTGTGTATGTGTGTGTGTGTATGCGTTTGTGTCTGTATGTGTGTGTGTGTGTGTGTATGTGTGTCTGTATGCGTGTGTGTGTATGTATACCTGTGTGTGCGTACGTGCGTGTGTGTGTGTGTGTGTGTGCGTGTTTCTTGTGTAAGCTGAAAGTCGCGAAAAAGTATTGAAATATCTATTGCTCCAAGGGTTCAGGGGATCTCGTAGTCGAGCAGTCTCGACTAGAGCTTTCTTACTTGTTTGTTTTTGATTTGTTTTTTTTTTTTTTTTTTCGTGCGCAACTCAGCAACGATGGCAAAAACAAACCTATTAAACTAGAAAAACTAACAAGACACGGACAAAGAGTCAAGGAGCCAGGTCGTCTGGTGTTTGCGCTGACAAGAAAACTAACGGCTAACAAGCAGCTTGTGGCAGAGTAATGATACTAGCGGGTGGGGAAAGGAGGGGAGGGGCAGTGCTGAACGCAAGATGGGAGATGGTCAATAGTAGCTGGAATCATCATGTAGAAGTGACACTTACGATTCAAACCCTGCATGGACATCGCTGGCAATTCAGCAGCTGATGGCGATGATGCTGCTCCTGATGCAGCTCCTGATGCAGCTGCTGATGCTGATGCTGCTGACTGCTGCAGTTGCAGGGACAAAGCAGGCGGAAACATGGTCGATGGCATATTTAGTGCGTCGTGATATCTGCTTCTCGTTTGCGTTGCAAATAATGCTGGTAACGATGATGCTGGCGAAGATGTTGTCGATGTTGTCGTAGTTGTTGTTGTTGTGGTCAATACAGTTGACTCTGGTGTATCTGCTGCACTTGGAGTGGGCAATGCCCTCATCGTCGTCGTTGTCGTCGCCGTCGTTGACGATGTCTTCGATGTTGTCCTTGCTGTGGTCTTGCCGTGCTCCCCCAAATCGGTATAAAGTTCTGGATTCTTTTGCTCCTGCATTAGACAATAGTCGACGCATTGGTGCACAGCCAAGTCCAACTCGGGCTCTTCGGGACACTCTCGGCTGGGGCAAGGCGACCACCAGACCTGCAAAGAGAGATTAAAAGCAGTAAAAAGTTAAACTTACTTTATTAATTATGCTGCGGCACAAGTTTTCAAATTTCCCTTGTATACCCTGTGCGCATTAAATGAGTACAAAGGGTATGCTTGATTCCGATTGAGGCGAGTCAAATTAATGTTCACTTCTTTTCATTTAAATTGAAAATGCAAGTCGTAGTTGAATCTTTGAAATGCCAAAAACATTTCACAGTTATGCTTATGTAATTAAATTGTATAAATAGAGATTACATCCTTTCATTCATTCCATTATTTATAATTTTGTCATTTTCCATGAGCTAGAGGCTCTCAAATTCGAATAAAATGTTGCATTGCTTGCTCGAATTTGTTCACAGGGCATCAGCTAGTCGACTATGTGTAGCATGAAAACAAAATGCTGCAGATGTTGTAATGTGAACTTGCAGCAAAGTAGACGGCATCTGCCAGTCGATTAAAGGATTCCAACTTGCAACGAATCATTATATTTTACGGCTCGCCTAGGAGTTGTGCAAGACATTCAAATTAAGCTTTGCTCCTCTAATGAGCAAAACTATTTTAACATGATATAGAGAACTTTATTATATATATAAATATAGGAATATAACGATATGTACATATATTTGCAATAATATTATATGCATATTACTATTTTAAATTCAAGGTAAAATAAAATGTGCATTTACATATCAAACGCAGAAATACTTTTTAGTGGATTTTTAGAAAATACCCATCTAGTATATTTCTGTTTAAAGCACTATTTGAAAATGTCATTTGCAACACACGTGAATCAAAGTAGTCACTGACAGTCACTAATCTAGCGCTCAGCTAGGAGAATACAAAAATAAAAAAATTAAAAACAACATTAACTAAGATGTCTTCGCTTCCGAGCACTACATGGAGCGATCAGTTACGGGATGCGCTCAGCTCGCCACTGGGCATTTTGGCCTTGACGTGCATCGTGGGCTACATGGCCTACATGCACGTGCGACGGGACTATCCGACCTACGATGACGAGGACTATGAGAAGGAGGGACACGTCGAAATCCCGGCGCCTCTACAAAATCTTCGAATGACCAAGAAGAAACTGGAGCAGTACGATTCGCAGAATCCCAAGCGTCGATACCTGATTGCACTGCAGGGCATCATATACGATGTATCGGGTGCTCCGCACGACTTCGGGCCCAACGGCAGCTATGAATCGCTGTCCGGCACCGACATCTTGTGGTTTATCCGGAGTACAGCTCGCTTCGAGTCCCGCGACTTCAACACCTATTTGGATGAGTGGAAAACGATGCTGGAAGATCATTTCTATGTCGCTGGCGTGCTGGTATCAGATAATGACCAGACCGATTCGGAGCCGGAGGGAAGTTCACAGTATGACTCAGCCAACGAGAATAATGAGTACGACAACAAAGTTGAAATGAATAAGGGCTACACCACGAGCGATAAGGTGGACGACGACAAGGTTATTGATAATGAATATCTCGACACGGACATAAATGGAAAACTCGAGGAAAACTCAAGTGATGGCAATTTCGAGGATGCTGACAATACTCTGATGGACTGCTCGGACGGGGACAAAACCATCTCAACTATGTAGACGGAACAGTTATTGTAGAAAGTTCACCTTGAGTACCCGATTGTATTAAATCATAAAACAGAAAATATATACACATACTATATATACATATATATTTATTTGTACGTTTTATCTGCCTTTTACAGGCAGAGTGCTTGCTGTCTGTTGTGATTGGGCTTGTTGTGCTGAGATAGTTCGTGTCCATGCATATATACATTACTAATTTCAATGTGAATTCAATAACTGGAGCCTGAGAGACAGCAGCAACATCATCCACGTAGAGACGACGCTTTGGCAATGCCTGCAATAATAAAATGGTAATTTCTGTTTTTGCCCATGAACAACGAATCCATATAAATGTTTACCAAACGGCAAACCAGACTTGTCCTTTCCTGCATAATTGTATAGCACGCCGCAAAGCAAGAGCAGAGCCAACAGCAGCAGCAGCAGAAGCAGCAGCAGCAGCAGCCGCAACAGCAACAGCAAGAGCAACTACCAGCATAATGTTGGCACAGATGCAATCGGCTTTAAAGCCTTTCAGGGCACTTTGAGACTGTTGCGGACTCGAGCGGGGAGTCTATGAAGATCAACTATGCACACTTTGTTATAATTGGATGTTTAAGCCTGAACACTGTTAAGTAAGCTCGTCATTCAATACAGACAGCAAATTACATTATACGATAAGCATTGATTAAGTTCTTATCTTGCCTTCCATGTGTTTATTTATTTATTTGTTTATTTCGGAATCGTTTGCATGTATCACGGGGCCAAAGGGCGATAAGCCGATAGAATTTATTTCTTATGGAATTTATAGTAACCAAATTCGTTTTACATTCAAGTTATTTTAATGAGATGATACATTTGTAAGCCCTCAACATGAAGTCTCTAGGCAAATCAACTAGTTCTACTACTATTTAATATTATTTCGTATTATATTTTAAATAATTTATTCTTTTAAATTATATTGGTTTGTCATTGAATTCCTATTTACCTATATTACATCGCTATTTATCAATATTAGATGCGATGACTATCGATATTATAGAAATAACTATACATTTTAATTGCGAAACAGCTTTGCATATTGAGGAGATACCGAGAATCTCAACAGAACAACACATAAGAGATAAATTCTACAATCATCTAAAATGAAATTTTTACGAATTTCAAATGCGTATTTTAGATATTATGAAAATATTGTGCAGTTCTTCACAAGCACAAACCACTTTCCTTTTGAGTCCATGGCCAAATTTTCCCTTCAAAATAGCTGAAAATCCGCTTTACGTTATGGTTTAAGAATCTCCCATCAATGAACCTTGCAGAACGAACTAGAAACAAAGCCAGTTAATGGACGTGAATTTACGAAATATCTGGGTCATAGCTGAGAATTTTCTGTGCTTACGATAACGTCGAAGGTATTGTTGATGCAACTACGTATTGTCTTCATTTTATGGTACTTTATGTGCACGTCATAAATACGAATCCCATGCACAGCGCTGCCTATTATTCTGTGTGTGTGTGTGTGTGCGTGAGTGCGTGAGTGTGTGGCCAAGTGTCCAAATGACGAATGCGAGAGTGTTTCGAGTGTGCGTATCTTAAAGTTAAGGATACTTTGCGCAAAATTCGCATTTAAGGCAATGCGTGCGACTGGCACGGGTCCACAACGAGGACCACAACGAGGCCCTTAACACGCAGGTCCATTGCGTTTCATTACGACTAACGACAACGGGGCTGTAATACATACAGTATTGCAGCTCAGCTGTCTGTGTGCCTGAATGTGTGTGTGTGTGTGTGTGTGTGTGAGATGTACGTGTGTTGCTAGTGTAGTTTAAGTGCTGCAAAACGACATCAAGATAAATGTACGTGATACACACAAACACACACAGTTACACTCACACACAAACACACACACACACGCACGCATGTGTAGCTGACGTGCACTTCTACATAAGTGGATTCTTTTTTTTTTTTTTTTTTTTTTTGGCACTGCCTCTGCCTCTGTTTAGAACTTGTTTAGATCTTCCTCTTCCTCTCTCTCCCTGTCTGTCTGTCTCTCTGTCCCGCTCTCTGGCATTCTGTATTGCTGTTTGTTAGTAGTTTTGTAGTTGGTTCTTAGAAGCCACTAATATATTTCGTTGCTTGTTATCAGTTGAGAGCCCCTGGATGCTGCCATATTCCATTTTCATATTTGCATTTCTTTGACTGCTCAATGGGAAAAGTACTCAAGCTTAGTTTTGCAAATAATATTGAGCTATTCAAAAATGGAGTCTTAATTTAAATTGCTAAAGAGGTCAAAGGTATTCAAATATTGCAGTCGTATGTATAGACATTTATATATGTATATATTAAATCATATTTATAAATAAGCTTTTACTTGAATATAGTGACTTTTTGCGTTGATGTAAAATTAAATATTTAATAATAAGATAATAAACTTTTTTCGGAATATGTAATTTATTTAAGTAAATCAAACATTTGTTAGTTTTTTTTTTTTTTTTTTTTGTTATTAATTCTTTATGTTCTCATAGAAAACTGTTTCAAAACAAAGTTAAAAATTAAATATTAATTATCAAATTTAATCATTTTATTATTATTTTATTTTATTATTATTATTATTTTTTAATGATTCTGAACTTTTTCTCTGCAACTTCTTGTCCCCCACAGCTTGCGAGATTGTCAAGTGTGAAATTGATCGCAGCCTAACTTTTAGTAGGTGCAATTAAAATGCTCGCGTTTAATTAGAAATTGATAGCAAAGTTACATAACTCTAGGCAGGTAAGTCTGCTCCTTAGCTTGCTAGAGACTAGAGTTAACAAATTTGATATATGCATAAGTGGGTTGCCAGGCTGAACACCTGCTTCTCATTTCGAGTAGCTCTTAGTTAAGCGCAACTCCCACAAAATCATTCTTAATTGTTACAGTCAAAGTTTTGTGCAAGTCATTCATAGGCAATCTGCTAAATGGGCGCGACTATAAGTTATCCTGTATGGGCTGTACGTAGCTGCCAGCTGCCTCTGGGAATGTTTAAACTTCCGTTTCAACATATTTACACTCACACCCACCCACACACACATTCACACACATACACACACACGTGCGCGGGCAGACAACTACGAATGCCGCAAGCTGCGCACTTAATGCTTTCTCCTCCACACAATGTAAAATTCACACATGAATAAGTTGCGACCGCATTTGGCATTTAAATGTGGGCACTAACCAAAATTGAAGGCTCTACCTCTGAAAAACGAGATATTTAACTTTCGTGTGGGTGCCTGCCTCTATACATACATATGTGTGTGTGCATGTGTGCATGTGTAAGTGTGTGCGTGAGTGCATATATGTATTAAAGGAATATGGCATGGGTAGATCTGCATAACAAATTGAATGTTCTTAGGCCTCAGCTAAGAGCTCCAAAGCTGATTAACAATATTTATTAATTTTCCTGCAGCGCAGAAAAATATCAAGAAAACGAAATTAATTTGAGCTGGAAGCGCATGCAAAAGGCTAATAAACCGAAATATGCTTTAGGCTTATGTAGCCATATATCACATGTACATATATAAAAACTTAACAAAGGCTGCTCTCGTTTTTATTGGCCTCGAGATTTGGCTGTTAAAGCCTACCCATGCGTGTTAACCCATTTTGGGCCCGTTTACTTATTCTGATAGTATAATTACTATTTTTTCCGAGCCCCTTTTAATATGCACAGAATATTTAAACGTTCGAAAATGTTGCAAATCAACTGCCATGGATTCACACTGTTCAACAAAATTAAAACATTTTTTTTTTCTTTTTATTTGTCGGGTGTATAAAACGTATAAATTAAATTATATTCATATATATTCTTATATTTTTTTTAATACATAAAAATTGTGATAAAATGTAAAAAAGATATGTATATATATATATATATATATATATATATATATATATATATATATATATTTAATTCCATATATTTGCCATTTTTTAGTGATTTAATAATTCTTAATTAGACACTAAACCTGTAATATTTATACACACCATTTGATCTTATTAAATTGTCATGTCAAATCAATTAAATTAAGTCATTTATCGGTAAAATGAATACATGCGGAATGGGCTAAAAAAAAAAAAAAAAAAAAAATAGCGCAAATTTTCTGTACATATATTTTGTACCATTATTTTTAGCAAATTTTATATATTTTTTATGCACATAAAAAAATTGTTTTGCCATCAATTAAATCAAATAGGAAATCATCCCCGAAGCACTTTAAATAATCCTGTTTATGCTCTTGTGCAACTGTTACTTTTTTCATTTCGACAACTTTAACGTAAAAGTTCCTTTCAAAAAGAAATCTTTGCTTTTGCTCGATTTGAAACCTTGTTGCATAATGTTATTTAAGCCAGTGGAATTTTTGTTATTGTTAAGTGTTTCCATTTGCAATTTGAAACCGGAGCCAGAGTGCTCTATTCAGCATTTTATTTGCTCAGCTCACTTTCAATAAATATTTGCAGCACAAATTGTGCTTTGGCTTGCTTGGCTTAGCCGTTCATATGGGAGACAATTCAGTACTTAATATTTTATTAAACCAATGACAACAGCAGCAGCCGAAATTGCAAAAGCAATAATGAAAGAAAGCAGCAATAACCCAAACTGTCCACAATGCATAAAATACGGCAACAGCAGCAACAACAACAACAACAACAACAAAGACAAAAAACATAAAACGGAATTTGCTGGGCAACAAATTTTATTCGTTGCGAAGCGGATGAAATGGGATGGGATGTCGAGTATTAGCATTCACAAGGTCCAATAGGTTGGACAGGCAGACAGTTATTTGCCACAATCAATGAATCGACATGACATGAAATTTATGCGCATGCAGGGCCTTAAACATAAACTGGGCCAAGCCAAATACTATGCAATGCAAACAGATGCAGCATCTGCTACAGACGGCGCGGCACACCGTGCGTATGCGTAATACGTACAGCTCTGCACTTGTGTGCGCGTCAACGTGAGACGGGCTGATGGGCGCACAGCAATGTGTAGCAAGTGGATGCCAGCTACGCACTCTCTCTCTCTCTCTCTCTCCCTCTCTATCGCTCTAACTATCTCTCGCACTCACACAACCAGAGAGAGAGAGACACACTTATAAAGTCACTTGTTAGCTTTGTGTGCGTTTTATAGCTCCATGTGGGCGTGTGCCGTAGTGTTTAAGTCTGTATTGATTGTGACAGCGTTATGGTGGCGCCACAAATAAATGCCGGGCTCTTATGCTCCTCTGCTAACGCACGGCTGTCTCGCTGCGTCTTCAGTTGTGCTCGCAAAATAAGTAAAAATATAGACATTCAGTGTAGACCGTAGACCGGCGAGGAGGCAGAGAGAGACACGAAATGCGTTCGCCACAATTGAATACGTGTCCGTTGCAGCAATTCGAGACTAAGTAAAACATTCCCAAGGCAATATTAAATAGACGCCGTCATAGTAGGTACCCATTGAAAATCGATAAAAATAAATAGGGCATAATGAAATATTTGCTATTGCACTGAATCAATTGCGCGAATAGCTCATTAATGGTTTCCTGTTAACTGAATTTGTTAATCAAGAATATAACCAAAATTTATTTTACACTTGTTGAATTTTAATCTAACTTCAAGTATAGGGTAAGTTTAACGGGGCTTTCTTTCGCGTGGTGAATATATTCATAAATATATCAGAACAATTTGTTGCCTTTTTTGCAGCAGTTTCTTTTTTAAAAAAGGTAAATATACTTTTTTATATTCCACATTTAATATTCCATTTACATTGTCAAGTTAAAAAATCTAAAATCGGGGTTTAGTTGAATAAAAGCTGTCGGAAAAGGAAAATTGGAGCAAAAAGAATTCTTGAGTATATTTCTCCGCTTTAATACCTAAGCTGCAGCTAACTGCTTTCTACTGTGCACTAAATCTTGTATATAGTGTTCAAAATTTCTATTTGTATAGAGCATCTCATGTCAGTATTTTCGGCAAGTAATATATTTTGATTACAAGCTAAGAAGCAGCAACAGTATAAGCGCCTGCGCACCTGCTATTTTTTGTGAAAGGTTTCGAAGTACCAGGTGCAAAAAATGAGAAACAGAGTGATAAATGTTAATTAACAGTAACATAGAACTGTTACCACTATGTTTATATAATGATTTGGGGATATGCGTATGGAAAAGACGGGGTCAAATCAATTAACCTCGTCGTACTGATCAAGAATATATACACTTTATCGGCCACGCCTCCTTCGTCCAGTTATATACATTTTAACAAAGCCCAAACAAAATCTGTATGTGAAAAGATTATAGCAATTATAGCAATTTCAAGCTTCAATTGACGTTGTGACGTTCCCTAATTAATAGCACTGTTCAGAGAATAATCGAAGGCTCATAATTAATTTAAACAATTAAAAATATTAAGGTTAATTAACCTGTTGAATCACACAAAGTTTATTCGCATTATATTTCATTATTTATTTGTTTCCTCAGACCCTCAGTATTTCCTTATTTGTTTCTTTTCGTCGCTTCCTTCTCAGAAACTAAGGGCAGACGTCAGAGTTGGACGGGTTGAAATTCTGTGTCACATTTCAGTCAACTAACGCAGTTTGCCAATGTCAACTACTTAGCTTTGGCCAAACTATTGTCACAGTCATAATTGCAGGTGCAACAACAACAATAACAATGACAGTAACAACAACGTTTCATAAGGTAAGCGCATTAAATCTACTGTGCAACAGCTGCCTGGAAATAGCTTTGTATCCCATAGCAAGTAACAGGGAGGTGTCCGTGTGAGTGTTTGTGTGTGTAGGTGTGTGGGTGTGTTGCTGTGTGAGTGTTGGCTAATGTATAACCAGATTGCACTCTAGC